TCTGGAACTTCTGAATTTTTAATTGTCGAATTCTGAATCTGAAAGGCTGTAATTCCAAATTTGAGATCTGAATTGCAGCGCTAATGCACATCCCTATCGGAAAAGTTGCTTAAGTTACATTTTGGCACTAGGATTCTTTTAGATTGCACTGTTGTAGCCCTTCCTGGACAGAACATCCCTGACTGCAGTGGTTCATGCATCAGTAGTCTCTAGGATTGATTATTGCCATGCTCTTTATGTGGGGCTGCCTTTGAGGGCAATACAGAAGCTTGAACAGGTGCAAAATGTAATGGCCAGGCTTGTGTCAGGAGCGTGGAGATACCGCAATGTCTCCCTGATTCTGGCACATCTCCGTCAGCTTCCTGTTTGCTTCTGTGCCAGATCTAAAGTGCTAGTACTAAATTATAAAGCCCTCAATGGTTTGGGACCTTGTTCCCTATCACAGAGGCTTTCCCTAAGATTGTCTGTCTAGGTACTCAGTCTTTCTAGCCTTTCTTTCTTGACAAGACGTCACCCCAAGAGAAGCTCAAAAATCTAAAACCAGGAAACAGGCTTCCCCCCCCTCCCCCAGTGGCTACAACATTGTGGAACACATTGCTTGTGGATATACGCTAGGCTCCCTCCCTCTTTACCTTCAGAAATATTCTCAATAATAAAGGAAGGGTGTAAAATCAGAGCTTTTAAAGGAGACTTTCAGAAATATCCTCCCCCTATGATCTTCTTGCTGTCCTGTGTGATTGTTTTGTCTGCCATTGTCTGTCTGTCTGCCATTGTCTGTCTGTCTGCCATTGTCTGTCTGTCTGCCATTGTCTGTCTGTCTGCCATTGTCTGTCTGTCTGCCATTGTCTGTCTGTCTGCCATTGTCTGTCTGTCTGCCATTGTCTGTCTGTCTGCCATTGTCTGTCTGTCTGTCTGTTTTTCTTTCTTTCTTTCTTTCTTGTGATTTGAATGTTTTCTATTGGTGGGTGATTTATGTGTCTGTTTTTTGTTCACCACCCAGAATAGTGGCTTGTCACTAGATGGTCAGGATATAAGTGAAATAACTAAAATAGAATAGCATGAAATAAAATAAATGAAGAGTGTCGTTCTTCAACTTTACTCCAATGTTCGATATTAACAGTTCCTAATCAGTACCAAAATCTGCTGGTGGTCTTGTTTCGGCATAGATAATACATCTTATCCATCTCCTTCCAATTACATAATCTGTTTGCTTTCTGTATTGGCTATCTGCTGATTTCCTCATATACAGTCATCTGTTTGATTGCTTAAAATATGTATTTGCAATTAATAGATTGTTGGCTTCGCAGAACTCTGAGTCATTTTCCTGCATCATTTCTGACCCTCTCCCCCAAATGTTCTAACAACATGTGACTGTTGCTTCAGTATTAGTGCCAATCCATTTCTTCTGAGTTCGTCATTTCCGGAGTAAAACATTTTGTAGTTGTCCGACTAAAAATATACCATTTCAGTTCCCTTTAGTTCACTGATATAAAACACTGCAATGTTTAAATGTCCCATTTCTTGCTTTACAGTTTCCAGTTTCATTATTCTCACATCCCATGCTCTAATTGTACGTGTTGTGCAGCACTGGACTTCCTTTCACCTCTGTGCACATCAACTACTAAATGTCCTTTTAGCTTTAATCTAGTTGTACCATTAGCAACAGCGCTATTCGCACTTGTTTTTTGCTCTTCCCTAGTAAATGATTGAATGCTTTCTGACCTGGGAGTCTCATCTTCCAGCACTATCTCTTGTTTCATTTTGGACTGTCTCATCATAGGATTTTCAAGGTAAGAAATGTTCAGCAGTGGTTTACCATTGCAAAAAGTTAGCTTGAGTGTCACTACTGTTATATGTGAAAGATCTTCTGCCAGTGTCTCTTTCAACTACCTCTGCTGCCCAGTAGCTGCCCTCTAGAAGTTTCTCTGCCCCCATCACCATTGGAGCTAATCATTCCCTTCTGCTATTGAGGCTTTTGCTCCTGAAGAGGGCGGATGCATCTTAGTCTAGTGTCTCAGCTGTGAACATTTTGCCTCAAGTGACTCTGCTAAGATTCCAGATTCATAATTCCAGCATTGCTCTTGACATCTTTGACACAGACAAACCCTCTCACCGTGTTAAATTATGCATCCAAGAAGAGGAGATAGCTTTTAGCACTTTAAAAATGTAAAAAATAATCTTGATATATTTGCATAGACACTTCATCCCTCTTTTAGGCAGAAGTCTAAGTTATATATCATTCATGGTGCAATAGGTCTCTCTTCAGACATTTTGTTTCCCCCCCTTACTATTTATTAGTAGAAAAGAAGACCCAAGCTGATGATGTTTTATATGCTTTTTTCCAATCTCTATTTCATCTGTTTCATATCGAAGAAAATTTTATCTCCAAAAAAAATTAGTGTTTACAGTTAGAAAAATATTATTTCAGCCACATTCTAAAATGTAAAGAGTATATTTCTAAACAAAAATGTATAACCTTAAGCGATTGTTATAGCGACAGACCAAAACTTCTAAAGAGAAAGCTTCTTACCCAAGCCAGCATAAAAATAATTCAATTATTCAAAACTATTCCAGTTTATGAATGTGGAATATTGTGCTTCTGTACCCATGATTCAAAACAACAGGAAATGGCCTGAGATTGCTGCACAATATCATGCCTGCATTTCCAGCAGGAAAAAGGATGCCACGCTTTACATAGCAAAGGGTAGCCTGAATGTTGACAACAGCTATGTCAGTTGTCAACATGGTCTCTTGTACCTCTACCATTCACGAAGTGACACCAAGAAAGGGAAAATCACAGCAGCTGACTCCTTTTTCATCAGTTAACCACTTCTCACCCAAACAAAAAGCATTTCTCAGGGCTGTTTTTTGTTAACCGTGAATGGTAGTGAATAGAGATGGGGACGAATCACCATTTTGGTTGCTGACTCACAAAGCACGAAGTTGCCCCCATGAAGCAAAAAAAATAACGAAGTTATTCATCAATTTGTGGGGGTTATTTAAAACAACAACACACACACACCTCTGCCACTGCCCCCCACTGCTGCCACCCACCACCACCGCATCCCTTAGCCTGCCTTAAGGGAATCCAGGCTGCCCTTTGCAAAGATGGCAGCTGCAGCTTCCCTACACTAAATGAAGCCACAACCACCATCTTTACAAAGGGCAGCCAGTTTCCCTTTTTACACGCCGTAGCTGCTGAGGCCTGATGGAGACCTTGGCAGTGGCGATTAGGCTAAGGGGGTGTTGGGGGGACTAAGGTAGGGAGAGGAAGGTGTGTGGGGGTAGGCTGTGGTGGTGAGTGGCTGTGGGGGGCCTATGGGCTGCTGATCAGCTGATCACGGCTGGTAAGCAGAATGGGGTTTTTTTGTAATACAAAGGACGAATAAAAATTGGTAAATAGTCATCCCTTCGTATTCATGGGAGTCTCTGGAACCATGAATATGAAGGGATGAATATTTAACAAATTGCCTATTTTTGCTGGAAAAGCTGATCCATTTTTTTAATATTCAGTCCCAACTCTACTCATGACCCAGGATTCAGTCCCAAGTACCTGGCTCAGGGTTGACTCAGTAAAAGCTGATCCATTTTTATATTTGTCCCCATCTCTAGTAGTGAGCAGTGGTTCCCAACCTTGGACAGCAACTTCCAGAAATCCTGGCCAGCACAGGTAGTGGTGAAGGTTTCTGGGAATTCCAGTCCAAGAACAGCTGGACTACCCAAGGTTGGGAACCGCTGCTTCTTGCTGGAGGGGGGGGGAAAGATAGTGTGTTTGAGAGAACTATAGTTATCACCCGCAAGACAATCTCATATTATACTATTTCTTAGATTCATGCCAGTCAGTCTTCTGAAACAGCTTTAGTCACTTTGAAAGCTGACCTGTATTGATACCCTTCTAGCAGTTTGGGGACTGAAACAGCTTTTGTCACTTTGAAAGCTGACCTGTATTGATACAGGTACTGTGTCCCCATTGGTTTGTTGGCTTCCCAGTAGCGCCCAGTATCATCAGCCACAGTGGATTTGCCTGTCTTAGTTGAGAGTTGGGGTACCAGACTGTACTCCCCTGGTATGTTGATAATAGGAAGTAGTAACTGAGGATTGTATTTTCTCACTGTGGCAGCTATTTTGATATACTTAAGCTGTACAGTGGTGCCTTGCTAGACAGTTACCCAGCATGACAGTTTTTTCGCTAGACATTGACTTTTTGCAATTGCTATAGTGATTCGCAAAACAGTGATTCCTATGGGGGAATTTTGCTGGACAATGTTTGGTCCCTGCTTCACAAACCGATTTTCGTTAGACAACGATTTTGACAGCTTCCTCCGCACTTTCAAAACAGGTGTTTTCAGGACCTAAGCTTCACAAGACAGCGATTTAAACAGCTGATCAGCGGTTCGCAAAGCGACTTTCCTATGGCCGATCTTCGCTAGACAACGACGATTCTTCCCCATTGGAACGCATTAAACAGGTTTCAGTGCATTCCAATGGCGAAATTCTTTTCGCTAGACAATGATTTCGCTAAACAGCCATTTCAGTGGAACGGATTATCATCTGTTTTATATCAAATCCAACTGTTGTCTTGTACCTCAACCATGTCTGGAGTCAGTAACAGGCTAGATGAAGGATAACAGTCTCATTCCTGAGACAAAACTTACTTTTCTTAGCTTTTAATGGAAATTTTATGGAAAGTGAGGTTGAAATCTCTCAGGAGCCCCTCACGCATCATATTTTATACATTTGGACAATATGTACCTTCTCCTTTGGCATCACTGCTTCCAGAGTGGTGAACAATATAGGTAAAATAGATATAATATGTTAATAGATAAAATGACACATACAGAATTGTGCAGAAAAAATTATTCTAAGTGACTGTGAAATGAAGACAGAATTGTCTGTTTGAAAGTGCATCAGAATGTCCTTGTGCCTACATCGCTTACAAATGAAATGGTTAGAAGCCTGTCACAGCTTCTCTCTCTGTGTGTCTCTCTCTTTCTTTCTAGATGATCTAACACGCGTTCCCCTTGGAGAGATGAAAGGCTACATCAATGCCAGTTATATCCGTGTGCCAGTGGACAAAGATGAACTCTTTTACATCTCCACCCAGGGTCCTCTGGCTTGCACCACAAATGACTTCTGGCAAATGGTCTGGGAAAACCATTCCAACGTCATTGCCATGATCACGAGGGAAACAGAACATGGGATATCTAAATGCCATCGATACTGGCCAGAGCCTCCCCATGTTTCTATGGATTTGATCCAGTTTCAGCTGCAGTTGATTAACTATCAGATTCTGGATTGCTTTGTCATTAGACTGGTAGAACTGGTGAGCAAACAGGTATGACGCACAGATTATATAAGAAAAGTGAATATTGCAAATGTAAGGATCTTTGAACATTTTTAGAATAGGGTTTGGATTATATTTGCTCTTTCCACTCTCGTTTTAGGTCATTTGGTCATGCGAAAAATTTTAGGCATGAATTAGGTATGAGCCTTTAGCCTATATAGCACAGCAGACTCTTAAATCCCCACTTTGATACAATGCATTTTGCAAGATGTGCTAAGATCTCTTGCAAAGTCAGGATAGCCTTGACCTAGTGTGAGACACAGATTCAGCAGCCAGTTATAAGACACCAGCCTTGCTTTCTCTTTAGGATGACTCTTTCTTGTTTTAGCTGCATGATGATTTCAGTCCCATCACATTAGTTTTGTGTGTGGATGATATATAGGTAAGTCAGTTTTCTGCATGATGGAAAGAATGGGTTGAGTGACAGGTGAGTGCTGGACAGGTAAGACAATTATGACAGTTCAGGAGGAGAAAGAAGGTGCCCCCACAGAATGTTGATGACATTGGGTGCTTTCCTCGGCCTAGATAGGGGAAGGGAAAGTGTCTCCTAGAGTGGATGAGCAGGAGGGATGAGGTAAGGTAAAAGACAGGAACTGCACAAGCTACAGGAGAAATCCCCAGGTGCATGATAGATGAGAGCTATGATGAAAAGACTGTGACAAGCTGAGACAGAATAGGCATTTGATAAGTTTATGGAAAGTTAGGTGATGGTTTGGCAATTGGGAGACTGCATGAAATATTTTAACCCATTTTTGTTGTTGTTATTGTAATCATTATTTAATCTGCAATTTTTTTTAAAAAAACTTTTGTTTTATACAAAAGACATCTCTTTATTTCCTATATACTATATGAACCTCCTTGCTGGCTGATTGGCCATCGCTTAGCAAGCAGGGAGAAGATGGAAAGAAAAGATGAATCTGTCAATGGCTTTTGATTTTAGGAACTGATGGTGTTGCCTTAGTGCTAGAGTACGAACCAAAGGACAAATTTAAATCCTCCACAAGGAAGTGGAGGGTGAAAAAAAGGGGGGATCATGAGCCCCAAGTGTTCAGACAGTTATATGTGAAGGAGCACACTGAGTGTCTGTTTGAGTAGTAGCAGGGGCACATCTCTAGGCCAGAGTCACTGTGTATTACCATAAAGTGGCTGAGGAAAGTTTGCAAGGGTGTCACACAAGGGTGTTGATAGCCACCTGGCAGGTGAAAAGCAAAAAAGTGGCAGGACAGGATTGACATTGGTAGGAGTGATGATGACATGGGGCTTTGGGGGCCATAGTAGAGAGATGAGTTTTTTCTTTTTTTAAATAATTAGCTCCATTTGTCAATCTGCTTTCTTAATTATTAAAATGGGGTGTTACCCATTACCAATTATACAGTATAAGGACTTTTTTGTGCATACATATACAGTATGAGCCCCTATTGTATTTTTCTGTTGCAGACACAAGAGAGACGCATTGTATATCACCTTCAGTTTACAACCTGGCCAGACCATGGCACTCCCAGATCATCAAAACATCTTGTTAAATTTGTTCGCTACATGAGGAAAATTCATCAGACAGGCCCTATCATTGCACATTGCAGTGCTGGTATCGGAAGGAGTGGGGTGCTGCTTTGCGTGGATATTTTGTTGCGCTATATAGAAAAAGATATATATGTAAGTTCACTTAAAGGCATTTTCAAGAGTAAATAATTCCGTATTTATCTTGCTGCAAAACCTGGCGGATTAATTGCACTGGTATTAAATTGCAGATAAAATATATTACGTAGAAATGGAAAAGTCTGACATCAGCGTTATGATCCTATTAAACTTGTCAGGTAGGCCAAGCTAACTTCCAAGTAGCCACTTCGGAGATTGTCTCCTCTTCATGATAGTGTTTCCAGTGTTCTGTCTTTAGCACGCATAGTAAGTTATTACATTTTTCATACAAATGTATGCACACAGACAGTATCACAAGGAAATCTAGTGGTCAGGACTAAGATGCTGGCAGCTGACACAGATAAACACAATATAGAGGAACAATTGTGGTGATACTATGAGATGGGAAAGACAGGCATCGTGGGCTAGTGGAAGATGGTATCCTATAGAGCAGGAGTCATCAACCCCTGGTCCGCGGCCCGGTGACGGTCCATGGGCTTGCCAGAACTGGGCTGCATTTACAGATCTTCGCCCCTGCACATGCTGTGGGCATGTCATGCTCATGCGGGGTGTGTTGTGCTCAGGCACATGCATGCGAGCATGACACACCCATCACGCAAGTGTGACGTGCCCCCACCCCCCACGCATGGAGCTCGCTTCCCCCCCAGTCTGTCCACGGCCCCAAAAAGGTTGGGGACTGCTGGTGTAGAGGTTCAGAAACTGAACTATGGCTCAAGATGCCCCAGGTCTGACTCTTCCCTATGCTATGAACTTACCAGATGGCATTAATCTCAAACATACACTCTCTGAAATATGGCATAAATATTACCATCACACTCCACACTGCTCTACAGTAAGCCACTGTGTCATTCTCCACATCTTGTTGAATTACAATTGACAGCGCATTTGGAATCAGGAAAGACTTCTTGTATCATCACTAATGTACCTTTTCTGCTGGCTGATCTCAGAGATGGATCTGCCAGCATGATTGCTGGCTGGCTAGCTTATAAAGGGCAGAGGAATGGAAGTTCATTCATGTCATATCAAAGCTTCCTCCAGTGCAGGGGCACAGTTACTGTGCCAGCACAAAGTTAGGCAAAGGTGAGAACAGTCGTAAGTAATTGCCAATGTTTTAAGGCTGGGATCTTGGCTAGTTAAGATTGTGCCTTTAGAGGACTGTTGGAAACAATGCCATTGTTCTGAACTGCTAGATAAATACTAGGCATTGTTCTAATGCTGAATTTGAACTATGGTTGCCTGTCATAATCATGGGTTGTGAATAACAGCCTCTTTGCCTGCCTGCAGTTTGACATCAAGCAGATAGTAACACACCTGAGACATCAGCGCTTTGGTATGATTCAGACCAAGGTAAGGACACTGATTTCATTTGTCTCCTTGGCACCAGGCTCTTTTGGAGGGAACAGGGAATGCAAACTGACTGTTTATGAGTTCCTGTGTAAGGGTGCCAGAGGTTACACTAATGTATGGAGTCAATTAAGCATTCCATTACACTGAACTTTTATTAATGTGAGTGTCTTTTTAAAATGAAAACGATTTACAGTTTGGTTGTTCCCCATGAAAGTTTCTCCAATACATTAATATTAGCATTAATCAGGGAAGATAGATGTATGGACAGAATCTATTGTCAGGTGATAAGTTGTTATGTGCCACGAAGTCACTTCTGACTTATGTCAACCAAGGAATTAGTGACCTCAAGAAGGTCTTGTCATTACTAGCCCTGTCATTAGTAGCCCTTGCAAACACAAGGCCATAACTTCTTTTATTGAGTCAGTGCATTTTATTGTCTTCCTCTTTTAATGCTGCCTTCAACTGTTCCATACATAACAAAACAGACCGACAACTGTCCCTGCCAAAGTTTTTATCTTATCCTGCCCTCCAGCCTGTGTTTTTCACACAGAGACATTGAGAAGATGGGAGGAGAAAGAGAAAAATGTGAGAGATAAAAGGAGTGCTTTTCAGAAACTGAAATCTATTAAACTCATTGCTATCACTGGAAACTGGGAATAACATGGTCTAAGTCACAAGATACAAATCACTAACTCAGGAGCAGTTGAGGAAAAATGGACTGCATGTGCAGATAATAAAATAATAGTAGTCAATAACATATGCTTGACTTTTGCTGAGGAAGAATCAGCAACTGAAAGAAGTAGGGAGATGGAATTAGATGAAAGAAAAAGCAAGAGAAAAGTTTCCGGTGAGATGAATGAGAAAACGAGTTTTCAAATAGTTGCAGTTGTTGTATTCTCTCCAAAGTCAAACAGATGCAAGCCAGGACTGGGAAGCAAATTCATGAATGACCTTTTTTTAAAAAAACCTTCATTCTTGCAATAGTTTTAGTGTAGTAAGGTAACACAAATGTAAATGCCAGCAAAAACCTACACCCAAACACGTATCCTTTTCAGTTTAAGAGCGTGGTTATACTAGGGGAAAAACATTTGAATTGAGTTTTGCATGTTTTAAATTATTTTTTGAGAGGTGACTACATGATGCACATAGAAATTTGGATTCCCCCCCCCTTGGGAAATGTGTGGTTTTCTTGTGGTGAGGTTTTGACACAGCAAGGTATTTTACTGGGCAGCAAGAAGATTGTTTCATTTAACTCACTTGTGAAATCACCTGTCAATGTAAATTGTGTCTGCGGGGTTGGCCCCTCTCACCACTCACTGGTGTGCCTTGTCAATATTGGCTTCCTTGCTCCCCTCCCTCTCTTCCACTGGGTGTCTTCATTCAGAACGTTTTTTTTTTAAAAAAAAACACCTGCTTCTTTTTTATTTATTTTTTTAAGTACTGCTTCCTTTTACTGATAAGCCCCTGGAAACTAAAAATAAATAAAGCCAGCTCGTGCGGCTTTTCTAGAATTGGCTGCTGATTGCTGCTTCAAGCAGGTGAAGGGTGGAGAATGAGCGGGGGAAGCAAGGGAGCATATATCTGGAGCTAGGGGCTGGTTCAAGGCGGTGGCTGCTGCTTCCTCCCCCCCCCCCCCNCTACCAGGATTTTAAAGGTTTGTCCTTCCTTTGAAGCACTTCTATTTTAGTGGGGCATTCCTAGAGTGGTATTTTAAAGAGCTTCCTCCACAACAATTGAGGATGGGGAAAAATCCCAAACCCACAAAATAGCTCAGCTAGAATATTTCCATACCTGGCAATTTTCACTGTCCTTCATCCTCTGCTGAAGAATGTAACTAGCTATTTCCCTCTTCATGCCCAGGAGCAGTATATGTTTTGCTATGAAATAGCTCTTGAAGTTCTGAAGAACATTCAGAGTATGGGCTCCCAGCTACTGCAGTAAGGAAAACAAGGTTCTCACCATCTGCTTTGGACTTAATTTTGCTACTTTAACTCATTCGATCAAGATGGCCAAAGAGCAACGAGAGCTGTTGCATGACATGGAATTGTCTTATATACCAATGACTGGAAAATGTGGATTTCTAAATCATCGGTGAAGCAAAATAGGCACAAACAATGTGGACAAATGGCTGAAAATGAGGTATAAAAATATATGGTTGTAACTGAATTCAGTTCTGCTGTGATTTGTAAAGGTAATCTTAGTGCCCCAGAGATGAAGTGGGGTTAATGGCTATGTGGTCACTCCTCGTGTGGCGACACAGATGTTTTTGGCACCTGAAAGGAAGTGATGGTTCTTCATGTGGTTTAAAGCCACACAAGGCCTTGCTGTTGCTGAAGAGGAGGGTTGTTTTGGGTGTGTATTTTGATATCTGCCTCACTTCTTCTTGAAATGTTCCTCAAGGTGATATGGCATTCAGGACCTTCTCCTGGCTTGTACTATAGAAATATGAGGCCTGAAGCACATCAAATCCTTAGAAGCTGTGCTCGAACATTGGTAATATGACATAACCTTGGAGAAGCAGCCACAACCGCATTACAATTTTATCTTGAAAGCTGAAAAATGACAGGCATCTCAGCTTTCTTGGATTCGAGAGTAATAATGGGTGGTTGTTTTTCAATAGATGAACTTAACCAGGAAATGCATTTCCCCTTCCATCCTTCTTCTGAAACTCAGCTGCCGACATCAGTACTTTATGCAGCGATTCCATGGAGTATCCCTTTGGCAGAGTGAGAGGAAAACAAGTTCCGGTTTGATTGAATGAACCTCTGCTCCTCCTTCTTTTCCAAATTCCCCATCCTGACTAGTGGCAATAGACTAATCTTTCCACCAGGAGCAAAAAATAAAAAATAAAAAAATCACTGGGTGCTGCATGTGCTTTCTCTTAGTTGGTCTGTGTGGTAGAGCAGTGGTCCCCAACCTTGGGCCTCCAGATGTTCTTGGACTACAACTCCCAGAAGCTTTCACCACCACCTCTGCTGGCCAGGATTTCTGGGAGTTGAAGTCCAAGAACATCTGGAGGCCCGAGGTTGGGGACTACTGAGGTAGAGGATGCAAGCCACAGGTCAACCACTGGGCAGATTTTGATATCAGTGTTTTCAATAGGAATTTTGTAGCTTCAATTCTCCATGTGTGTCACCCAAGACAAGGTTTAAGTGTTAGACATACCTTCTTCTGAGCCTTTCATTTTCTCCTGCACATACATGCCCCTGCACTCACATTTTATCTCTGCAAATGTGTGAGCAACTGTTTGAACTTAATTTCATTTATTTCTATTCCTGGGCCTGCACAATTTACTATTACTATGGAACTTCTCTTATAAAATAATGAAATAATGCTAGAGAAATGTCTATGGTAAATTTGCTATTGAGCACAGTCCAATGTTTCCTGTGACCATTATAAGGAGCACTCCATGGTACATTAAAGTATATAAGGTGCAACTGAACCCTCACTTCCTCATTTACTTCAAGTGTCATCCTCCAGCCATCCACAATCTTTATTTACTAAAAATAATCCAGAGTCCCACATGTGGCCAAGAGGAATTAATGGGAAATAAAGATGGCAGTTGGTAAGTGGAGGGACTTTTATTTGAAGCAATCCCTTATGCCTCTAAGAGTGTGATTACACAGTAGGAAAAATGTGAATCTAAGTGGAGAGACTTTTCTTTGAAGCAATCCCATATGCCTCTAAGAATATGATTACACAGTATGAAAAATGCGAATGGATCCTCTGTGAAGTTGCACCCTGGAAGTCAGGTTTCCCCAGGTTAATTTTCTTCTGCTGTCCGCACAGAAGTGAACAGACAGAGAGGAGGAAATCAGTTTTGTTTGCAGCTTGTTAACTGTTTGAATCATCTTCTCCCCACACCTGGTTCCTGGGTCTGCTTCTTTTCTTCTTTCTTCCCTTCCTGCCTCCCTCTCTTTTAAAGGTTTGCTGTCAATGCTAGATCAAATGGTGACCAACTGAAAAAGCAGAAGCAAAAAAAAAAAAAAACCCAAGGAATTGGCAAAGAGAGAGGAGGACATTTTCATTTCAGCATTGCTCAAGTTTTTTAAAGTAGCTCTGCTCTGTTCCAGCTGTCCAGATTTGCAGGAGGCATGATTAGAGCAGAACTGCCTTGAAACCTACTTCTCTCCCCCCGCCCCTTGGTTGCCTAGCTGATCCAGCACTAGATTAGCAAGCCTTAAAAAGAAAAAGAAAAAGGAAGTCAGAAACCAAATGAGAAGGGAAGAGGAAACCAGACCTAAGAAGAAAAAAAGACCTAAGCACTAGGTTTACAGTTCAGAGGATTCAAAAAGCAGCCAGTTTCTCCACTGTCTTGCCTCTCACTGTTGCTAGAGCCAGCCTGAAGGTTTTTCAATACAGTGACAACAAACCTCTCCATATTGGCCCAATTGATCACACTACCGAAACCTATGCAAAAGAAATCAATTTCAAAAAAGTAACAGCCCCAACAACAGAGAAAAAAATTACAGACTGGAGGGTGGGGGGGATTTGGGGCTGATTTGCAGATTATTAACTGTGTTATATGCAATATTTCAATACTGTTTTCTTATCTATCATCAAATGTGGTTATAGAATTTCTTATCTTGTTCAGGGTTATGCTTTCACTAAATGTAATTAAAATTGTTCCTTAAAATTGACTACAGGAAACAAATTATTTGTATCAAATTGTTCCAAGCCAGCTTGTTGTTGAAAATATTTATTAACTTTATTTTCAGATATGGTTTATAAAATCACTTACATCTACCTCCACATTGATAACGAATTATTCCACTCCTATGCCACATGTTTAACCATCATCCAGGCATATGGATCGGGGGGGGGGGGGGNATAATTGACTGTTTCAAGGATGGTGATAACACTCCAAAACTTCCCATGAGCACAATATGAGATACGATTAAAGTAAAAATTGGAGCCCATTGTGTTCAAGAAGCACATAAAGTTTTTTAAAAAGCAACAGGAGCTACAGAGACCAGTCTTAGAATTAGCTCTCTGGGTTTTTTCAGGAATTAACTTAAAACCTGGCTATTTGGGCTTTCCCTCCTGTCATATCTTAATTTCTTATACTTTGCCATCCTGGACCTATAATATATGTTTTTGGTTTTATTGTTTTTAAATTTGTAAACTGCCTAAATAAATAAATAAATAAATAAATAAATAAATAAATAAATAAATAAATAAATAAATAAATAAATAAATAAATAAATAAATAAATAGAATTAGAAACACCAAGAACGATCGGGTAAAAATAAATTTTACAACCACCAATTAAAAATTAACTAGAATTGCTAGAAATAAACAGAAGTTATATAAATGTAGAGTGTTTAAAACAAACATTCTTTGAAACTGGAAGGAGAAAAATTAAAATGACTAGCAAAATGAAAGCTATCACCAGGAAGAAAACGTATGGTATCAAAACAGTTCATGATTTATATCCTTTTGTGTTTAGTCGTTTAGTCGTGTCCGACTCTTCGTGACCCCATGGACCAGAGCACGCCAGGCCCTCCTGTCTTCTACTGCCTCCCGGAGTTGTGTCAGGTTCATGTTGGTTGCTTCGCAGACACTGTCCAGCCATCTCATCCTCGGTCGTCCCCTTCTCCTCTTGCCATCACACCTTCCTAACATCAAGGTTTTTTCCAAGGACTCTTTTCTTCTCATGAGATGGCCAAAGTACTGGAGCCTCAGCTTCAGGATCTGTCCTTCAAGTGAGCATTCAGGGTTGATTTCCTTTAGAACTGATAGGTTTGTTCTCATTGCAGTCCAGGGGATTCTCAAGAGCCGCCTTTTTAAAAAAAAAATCCATAAAGTCCTGGGAACAGATGATTTGGAAATCAGTGTCTTTATTTAGAACAGACAGAATCATAGAGTCTTGTGAAAAAGGAAGTACACCGTCTTTGAATTATATGGTTTTACATATCAGAATAATAGTAAAAAGCATCTGGTCCTTAGCAGGTCTGAAAATGAGGTAAATACAACCCCAGATGAACAACAACACGCAACATATTACACTGTGTCATGATTTATTTTACAAAAATAAAGCTAAACTGGAGAAGCTATGTGTGAAAAACCACTTTTAGCTGCAATAGCTTGAAGCAATTGTTTTCTGTATGACTTTATCAGTATCTCACATGGTTGCGAAGGGATTTTCACCCACTCTTCTTGACAACGTTGCTTTGGTTTGTTGAAATTTGTGGGTGTTACATACAGCTATGACATCACCTGCCCGTCACTGCTGAAGCTGTGTGTCATCTACCAATGGTGTGACAGAGGGTGGGACATAAGGGGTGGAGCTGTTGTATATAAGGGGAGTGAATGGTGTGACAGATTCAGATAGGGCTTTCAGATAGGGCTTTCAGATAGGGCTTGGAGATAGGGTTGAGATAGGGAGTTAGGGACGGTTAGGACTTGGAGATACTGAGAGATAAGAACTGTGCTACATAGTGAGGGTCTGTGAGAGTGGGTGTGTGATAGTTATATTATTATAGTGATTGCTTTATTATTTATATTCAAGTCCTGAAGAGCTCTCTGGTCTTTCCTTTTCTGTTATCTTCCTCTATTTCTTTGCATTGTTCATTTAAGAAGGCCCTCTTGTCTCTCCTTGCTATTCTTTGGAAGTCTGCATTCAATTTTCTGTAACTTTCCCTATCTCCCTTGCATTTTGCTTCCCTTCTCCTCTCTGCTATTTCTAAGGCCTCGTTGGACAGCCACTTTGCTTTCTTGCATTTCCTTTTCTTTGGGATGGTTTTCGTTGCTGCCTCTTGGACAATGTTACGAGCCTCTATCCAAAGTTCTTCAGGCACTCTGTCCACCAAATCTAGTTCCTTAAATCTGTTCTTTACTTCCACTGTGTATTCATAAGGGATTTGGTTTAGATTATACCTGAGTGGCCCAGTGGTTTTTCCTACTCTCTTCAGTCTAAGCTTGAATTTTGCTATGAGAAGCTGATGATCAGAGCCGCAGTCAGCTCCAGGTCTTGTTTTTGCTGACTGTATAGAGCTTCTCCATCTTTGGCTGCAGAGAATATAATCAATCTGATTTCGATATTGCCCATCTGGTGATTTCCATGTGTAGAGTCGCCTCTTGTGTTGTTGGAAAAGAGTGTTTGTGATGACCAGCTTATTCTCTTGACAAAACTCTATTAGCCTTTGTCCTGCTTCGTTCTGAAC